TCGTATTTATATATAGTATGGGATAAGCACGAAAGTTTAGAAAACGAAAGGGTGAAATTTTACAAAGTTAACGGTGGAGGGGTGAAAGTGATATTTTAAAAAGTAAAGACATGAAAAATATCATTTTATAAAATAGAAGGGTTACAAGTGACATATAATGAATTAAAGTTGAATTTTACGCATTAACATGTTTGCACACTGTCCATTACAACTTGTACTATTAATAATAGTAACTTTGTCTCATAACCATAAAGTTGCATTTTTGTTATATTTATTATTGCAAATTTGGTTTTGTGGTTTACTAAAAAATGCAAGTTGGATCCATTTTTTTTTCGTTCGCACAACTGGTCTAAAATTGAAACTTATATGTTGATTTGATCCATTGAATGAATTAATTGTCATTATATTTCAACAATTAAATTAGTCACATGCTCTTCATGTAAGGGAATATTTGTCAATTTAGTAATTTTTCCTCTTTACCTACATCTTTACTTCACCGATTTTATTCATTCATTCTGAGCAATCTTTGAGATTCAATCATTCACTATTATTAGAATCTCTCGATTTTATAATAAAACGCCACATCAGCCACATGTTGATGAGAAATTAACAAGAGAGGCACGTCAACTAAACAAGGATGAATGGCAAATGGCTCATTTGATTATTTTTGTCCTCAATTAATGTCGTTTATTTACGTATATAGTGATTTAAATAGAAAAAACAAGAATATGTTATCTAAAGTGAAAATTATGATATGATATGTCATTATGTAATAGTTTTATGTGTTTAAAATGTAACTATTTATTAAACCAATTCAATTTTATCTATAGTTGTCTAATTATATGTTAGTGGTTACATGAACAAGTTTTATTATGATACATTCGTATAGTCGTATGAGAAAATTATAACATATGTTTTTCAAGATCAATGACTCTTATTTAGTTTTTGTAAGTGATCTTGACCGTATTTTGGTTCGTTATTGTATGCAACGTTTGTTTTAGAAAATATAACAAAATTATCATCAAACTTGCTAAAGAGGCTCATGGATACATTTTTCTTATACCTATAACCGGAAAATATATATATATATATATATATATATATATATATATATATATATATATATATATATATAGATCCGGTAAGAATGAAATTTTTGGTAGGAAGGTAAGAAGTTTTTTTTTCTATATATTTTTTTGACGAATAAAATAAATGAATCACTAGATGATTCATTTGTAAGATGATTCACAAGAAAAAATTCATAAAAAAACATCTTTATGATTCATTTTTAAGTAAATTCAGAAAAAATTTACTTTTATGACAATTTTAGTGAATAACAACAAAATCATTGTATAAATGAATCATCGAGATGTTTTTTTGATAATTTTTTCTTGTGAATCATCTTACAAATGAATCATCTAATGATTCATTTTGTTTGTTCGCGAAAAAAATATGTAGAAAAAAAACTTCTTACCTTCGTACCAAATATTTCCTTCTTATTTGATCTTGACTCTCTCTCTCTCTCTCTCTCTCTATATATATATATATATATATATATATATATATATATATATTAAATTTTGAGTTTATTAGATTTTTTTTTGTCTGACATCTATTTATTAAACCAATTCAACTTTATCTATAGTTGTCTAATTATATGTTTGGGGTTATATGAACAAGTTCTATTATAATACATCCTTATAGTTGTATAGAGAGCTCGTATAAGAAAATTATAACATATGTTTTTCAAGATCAATGACTCTTGTTTAGTTTTTGTAAGTGATCTTGACCGTATTTTGGTCCGTTATTGTATGCAACCTCTCTTTTAGAAAATATAACAAAATGTGATGGGTTTTGAGCACTATAACATTCATATGGTGCTAATACAACCCTAGATGCTTTAGATCTAAGTTTTCTCAAGTTATACATGCAATTTCATTTTTCCAAAGCATGAAGCCTAACTAGCATACAACTTTGATAATCGAAACATAAAAACAAGTAAGATGATTACCTCTTTGTTGTAGCTTGTAGAACTTGGCCTTACAAGAGCTTAGCACCTCAAGTGTGATGCCTCAAATGTGTCACAAACACCAAGAACAATGGAGGACAATGAGAGAGAGCTTGGAGGCACCAAAATCGGCTAGCTTCTTCTTAGAATACTCTTGTGTACCGATTTTAGGGCTTTAGGGATTACATAGATAGTGTAGATTGTAAACCCTAATCCATTCAATTAGGCTTTTGATCCAATAATTCATTTGGACTAACACTTCATGGACTCTCACTTAAGCTTAGTCCATCACTAATCAATCATGGATCATTAGCCCAAACTATATTTATCACTAATTTACATAATCAGTCCTTGTTAATTTAATCAGTCTCTTTTGATCACTAAATTAATTCCAAATTAATTCTTGATCAATACCAATTAAATAATATGATTTCTCAATTAATATATTATTCTATTAATAAATCACAAATAACCTCTTTCTCAAATATCTTTCCTATCAAATTGCTCCGGTGAATGCAACCCAAATGGACCATGCTATTATCGGGTCAAGTACATACCAATTATAGTTATGAGCTTAGACACCTAATCTAACAAAATGATCATCAAACTTGCTAAAGAGGCTCATGGATACATTTTTTTCTTACACCTATAACCTGCAAAAAAAAAAAGAAATATATATTAAATTTTGAGGTAATTAGATTTTATTTGAAGATGGGTTTAGCACAATTGGTTAATGCGTAGGGGTTTATATGTGAGGTTCGAACTCGCGCTTCAACATAAGGACTTTACATATTGACCTACAATTGAAATTATTTCACGAGTTTATTTGAAAGTTTTGAAAAATGGGTAGGACTAATAGGGTTCGAACTCACGCTTTCCAATATAATGACTATACGAATTAATCAAGTTCTAGTCTCATGACCATAAATTTTAATATGTTTCACATGTTATATGTGCCGGTAGAAGTATATATACAAATTAATGAGCCTTTTTAGCGAGTTAGATTTATTTTTATTTATTCGTCTATTATCATTTTTTAAATGGTTGGTTAGTGATTAAGAGTTAGTATCACAAAGTTAGTAAAATTCGCCAATCTAATAGGAAAAATCTTTATCAAGTGGGGTAGTCCTACATTAGTTTTTAACGAGTTAAATATCCATTTTTATGATATTTACTAAAAATGAGGGTATCATATAGGTGATAATGGGGATTATGGTTGTTTTTCATGTATTAGTGAATATATATATATATATATATATATATATATATATATATATATATATATATATATATATATATTTTGCATCATTAAATTAAATGAAAATTTGCGTTTAGCTGATAGATAATTGTCTAATATATGTATTTTCGGTTCAAATGAAGGATTATTGTTATTTCTTTTATTTGAGTCGTAACAATTAGGAGAGACTAAGGGGTCGTTTGATAGTTGCTAACTGAGTTAGAGCTGACCGGGTTAGAAGCTGACTGGGTTAGAAGTTCTGATTGGGTCCACATCTGATTGAGTTTCTGCTGTTTGATTATCTTTCTAACTGACTGTAGTGAATGATGAACAATGACCATATTACCCTTGTACATTTTGGCCCTTACTTCCTCCGCCTTGCAAAATACAAAATCGAGGTTTAATCAAGAATTGAAGTGTTATAACTTGTCTTAGTACCTATGATCAGATCTAATTTGGTTGTAAATGTTTACCATATAATACCTTTAAAGTAAAATGGTGACAATACATCATGTTAGGATTCATTTGTTTTAAAGTAAAATGATGACAACACATCTGGTATGCAAAGCACGACTTTAGTTAAGCTAGTTTTCAGAAGTTTATTAGGAAATAGATGTTTAGGATTCATTTGTTTTAAAGGCTATAAATATTATAGTATTGTTCATTACTATGCATCAGTTAACCCCCACAAATGCATCAAATCTTGTACAGTACGAATATACCAGCAATTAGCACAATCTATACCAATTAATCACTCTTATTGGCAAATAATCGAACACTTGCTATGTATTTTTTTTTCTGCTCATACGACTACTACGATTCATACGGAATCATTTCCTTTAAAATACAAAATCGAAAATTCACAGCAAAATCGAAAAGGAACAGCAAAAATGGAGCAAACTGGGAAAGATATTCGCCTGGTCGGAAGAATGGTGGTCTCCGGTCGACTGGCCAGAGGAAGACAACGGGGCAGTCGCCGGTTGCAGCAGGTCGGAAGGTTTATGCAACAGTAGGGAGATAACGTTCTTTCTCTGTAGAGGCGGAGGTAGGAGACAACGAAGGAAGGATGCTGCAAACTAGGAAGGGTCGATGGAAGAAGGGAGCGTCTGTCGTTCACGATGGGGGCAAAATGGGGAAGTTTTCCAGTCAGTCATTTTTTTACTCAGGACCGAATCAGCCAATTTTCCATGACCGAATCAGAACATTGGACCGGGTCAGACAGCCCTTTATCAAACACGATGATTGGACCGAGTCAGCCAAAAGTGTTGACCGGACCCAGTCAACTACATATCAAACATGTCCTAACCATAACACAATTTTATTTTATAAAGCCAGTGATATTTTACAAAATCGATTTTGTCAAAATAAGTGTTTTATATTATACAATCATTTTTTAAAGAAATATCATCCCATAATAAGACAACTTTTATTTTATAGTTTAGTAATTGGCTATATAGAAGTATTCCATCTTTACACATGTAATCAATCGTATACCAAGATAAAAAAATATTTATTATTCATGTCTAAATCACATACAAATACTTGGAGTTAATAACCATTAATGCCGCAATAAATATCTACAAATGTAACTATGTGAATACCTAAAATTAATTAACATTAAATTCTTAAATAAACATATACAACTCCAACCTTTCTATAAATACACCCAAAACTTATTCTCTCATAGCATAAGACGAAAAGCTTTACTCGAGACATCTATCAAAAGATTAAGAGCACATATTTATTTAATCAAGAATGGCAAACCTAAAGCCAAGTTTGTTTCTGATTATAGCCATGGTAGTTGCATCCTTAGAGTTCAATCACACTCGGTGGCAACAGAGCATGTCGTCGGCGATTCCTTCGGCTGGGCAGTGCCACAAAATGCCGGTTTCTATTCTATGTGGTCTCTAAACCATACCTTCATAATTGATGATACTCTAATCTTTAATTTTGCCGATGGATTTCATAATGTTGCAGAAGTAACGAAGGAGGCATACGACACGTGCGACACCCAAAATCTAATCTCAATCCAAACCACCAGCCCCGCTAGATTTACCATAAACAATGTCGACAACCACTACTACATCTGTACCGTAGGCTTGCACTGCAAGTCCTTTTTGAAATTAGCGATTAGGGTTTCCGTTCCTAACAATTCGTCTGCAATGTTATCTCACTGATATTTTATTATTATCATATAAATATAAATATAATGAAATACTTTGGTTAAAATATTATATTTTTTTTCTCTAAGGTGTTGATGGTATGTTAAATACTCTAATATATAATTTGATAGGTTCATCGTTAAGAGTTAACGAACAAAAAAAAGCAAATAATATAGTGAAAGATAAATAATTATTTGTCACGACATTATTAATATGTTTTTTTTAGAATTATTGCTATATATATATATATATATATATATATATATATATATATGTATATATATTCCCTTAGTCACACAAAACCAAATATTCATTACGGTAAACTAGTAATTGAGCTCGGGCTTTGCAACATGTTTTTGTTGTGTATTATGAGTGAAAAACATTGGGGTAAAAGTCACATTTTGCAAAATTTAAGGTGGAAGGGGTGAATGTGATATTTTAAAAAGTAAAGGGATGAAAAAAATCATTTTACAAAATACACGGGATGCCAGTGACAGATTATACGAAGTTGAGGGATTAAACTTGCACTTTACGTATTGAGGGTTGCAAATAACAAATCTTACAAATTTGGGTAATTAAAGTTGCACTTTACGTATAATACATACAGGTACATTGTACATTAACAATTGTAGTATTAGGTATATTGATTTTCTGAGATGAGGTGGAAAATGCATTTTACAAAGTAGATGCGGTAAAATCGTATTTATATATACTATGGGATAAGCACGAAAGTTTAGAAAACGAAAATGTGAAATTTTACAAAGTTAAAGATGGGGTGAAAATGATATTTTAAAAAGTAAAGAGATGAAAAATATCATTTTATAAAATAGAAGGGTTACAAGTGACATACTATTACACAATGTTAATGTATTAAAGTTGAATTTTACACGTTAACATGTTTGCACACTGTCCACTACAACTTGTACTATATTTATTTGAAACTTATATGTTTATTTCTTCCGTTGAATTAATTAATTGTCATTATATTTTAACAATTAAATTAGTCACATGCTCCTCATGTAAGGGAATATTTGTCAATTTAGTAATTTTTCATCTTTATCTACATCTTTACTTCACCAATTTTCTTCACTCATTCTCAGCAATCTTTGAGATTCAGTCATTCATTATTATTGGAATCTCTCGATTTTATAATAAAACGTCACATCAGCCACATGTTGATGACAAATTAACAAGAGAGGCACGTCAACTAGACAATGATGAATGAAAAATGTCTCATCTGATTATTTTTGTCCTCAATTAATGTCGTTTATTTACATATATAGTGATTTAAATAGAAAAAAACAAGAATATGTTATCTAAAGTGAAAATTATGAGATGATATGTCATTATGTAGCAGTTCTATGTGTTTAAAATGTAACTATTTATTAAACAAATTCAACTTTATCTATTGTTGTCTAATTATATGTTAGGGGTTACAAGAACAAGTTCTATTATGATATATTCGTATAGTCGTATAAGAAAGTTATAATATATGTTTTTCAAGATCAATGACTCTTATTTAGTTTTTGTAAGTGATCTTGATCGTATTTTGTTCAGTTATTGTATGCAACATTTGTTTTAGAAAATATAACAAAATGATCATAAAACTCTCTAAAGAGGCTCATGGATACATTTTTTCTTATACCTATAACCGGCATATATATATATATATATATATATATATATATATATATATATATTAAATTTTGAGTTTATTAGATTTTTTTTGTGGCATCTATTTATTGAACCAATTCAACTTTATCTATAGTTGTCTAATTATATGTTTGGAGTTATATGAACAAGTTCTATTATAATATATCCTTATAGTTGTATAGAGAGCTCGTATAAGAAAATTATAACATATGTTTTTCAAGATCAATGACTCTTGTTTAGTTGTTGTAAGTGATCTTGATCGTATTTTGGTCCGTCATTGTATGCAACCTCTCTTTTAGAAAATATAACAAAATTATCATCAAACTTGCTAAAGAGCTCATGGATACATTTTTTCTTAGACCTATAACCTTCAAATATATATATATATATATATATATATATATATATATATATATATATATATATATATATATATTAAATTTTGAGGTAATTAGATTTTATTTGAAGATGTGTTTAGCACAATTGGTTAATGCGTAGGGGTTTGTATGTGAGGTTCGAACTCACGCTTCAATATAAGGACTTTACATATCAACCTACAGTTCAAAGTATTTCACGAGTTTATTTGAAAGTTTAAAAAGAAATGGGTGGTACTAATAGGGTTCGAACTCACGCTCTCCAATATAATGACTATACGAATTAATCAAGTTCTAGTCTCATGACCATAAATTTTAATATGTTTCACATGTTATATGTGCCGGTAGAAGTATATATACAAATTAATGAGCCTTTTTAGCGAGTTAGATTTATTTTTATTTATTCGTTTATTATCATTTTTTAAATGGTTGGTTAGTGATTAAGAGTTAGTATCACAAAGTTAGTAAAATTTGCCAATCTAATAGGCAAAAATTTTTTCAAGTGGGCTAGTCCTACATTAGTTTTTAACGAGTTAAATATCCATTTTTATGATATTTACTAAAAATGAGGGTATCATATAGGTGATAATGGGGATTATGGTCGTTTTTCATGTATTAGTGAATAATTTTTTTTTGCATCATTAAATTAAATGAAAATTTGCGTTTAGCAAATAGATAATTGTCTAATATATGTATTTTCCGTTCAAATGAAGGATTATTGTTATTTCTTTTATTTGAGTCGTAACAAAATTAGGGGAGACTAACGATAATACAATTTTATTTTATAAAGCCAGTGATATTTTTCAAAATCGATTTTGTCAAAATAAGTGATTTTATATTATACAATAATTTTAAAAAAAAATATCATCCCATAAGACAACTTTTATTTTATAGTTTAGTAATTGGCTATATAGAAGTATTCCATCTTTACACATGTAATCAATCCTATCACCTACAAATACTTGGAGTTAATAACCATTAATGACGCAATAAATATCTACAAATGTAACTATGTGAATACCTAAAACTAATTAACATTAAATTCTTAAATAAACATATACAACTCCAACCTTTCTATAAATACACCCAAAAATTATTCTCTCATAGCATAAGACGAAAAGCTTTACTCGGGACATCCATCAAAAGATTAAGAACACATATTTATTTGATCAAGAATGGCAAACCTAAAGCCAAGTTTGTTTCTGATTATAGCCATGGTAGTTGCATCCATGGAGTTCAATCACTCGGTGGCAACAAAGCATGTCGTCGGCGATTCCTTCGGCTGGGCAGTGCCACAAAATGCCGGTTTCTACGCTATGTGGTCTCTAAACCATACCTTCATAATTGATGATACTCTAATCTTTAATTTTGCCGATGGATTTCATAATGTTGCAAAAGTAACGAAGGAGGCATACGACACGTGCGACACCCAAAATCTAATCTCAATCCAAACCACCAGCCCCGCTAGATTTACCATAAACAATGTCGACAACCACTACTACATCTGTATCGTAGGCTTGCACTGCAAGTCCTTTTTGAAATTAGCGATTAGGGTTTCCGTTCCTAACAATTCGTCTGCAATGTTATCTCACTGATATTTTATTATTATCATATAAATATAAATATAATGAAATAACATTTTGGTTAAAATATTATACTTTTTTTTTCTCTAAGGTGTTGATGGTATGTTAAATACTCTAATATATAATTTGATAGGTTCATCGTTAAGAGTTAACGAACAAAAAAAGAGCAAATAATATAGTGAAAGATAAATAATTATTTGTCACCACATTATTAATATGTTTTTTTAGAACTATTGCGCGCGCATATATATATATATATATATATATATATTATATATATATATATTATCTATATATATATATATATATATATTCCCTTAGTTACACAAAACCAAATATTTATTACGGTAAACTAGTAATTGAGCTCGGGCTTTGCAACATGTTTTTACATGTTTTTGTTGTATATTATGAGTGAAAAACATAGGGGTAAAAGTCACATTTTGCAAAGTTTAAGGTGGAAGGGGTGAATGTGATATTTTAAAAAGTAAAGGGATGAAAAAAATCATTTTACAAAATACAGGGGTTGCCAGTGATAGATTATACGAAGTTGATGGATTAAAGTTGCACTTTATGTATTGAGGGTTACAAATAACAAATTTTACAAATTTGGATAATTAAAGTTGCACTTTACGTATTGACATACTGGTACATTGTAGATTTACAATTATAGTATTAGCTATAGTGATTTTCTCTGTTGAGATGAGTTGGAAAATGCATTTTACAAAGTAGATGAGGTAAAATCATATTTATATATAGTATGGGATAAGCACGAAAGTTTAGAAAACGAAAGGGTGAAATTTTGTAAAGTTAAAGGTGGAGGGGTGAAAGTGATTTTTAAAAAGTAAAGAGATAAAAAATATCATTTTATAAAATAGAAGGGTTACAAGTGACATACTATTACACAAAGTTAATGGATTAAAGTTGAATTTTACTCATTAACATGTCTGCACACTGTCTGCACATAGTCCATTACAACTTGTAGTATTAATAATAGTAACTTTGTCTCACAACCACAAAGTTGCATTTTTGTTATATTTATAATTGCAAATTTGGTTCCTGTGGTTTACCAAAAAATTCAAGTTGGATCCAATTTTTTTTTTCACTCGCACAACCGGTCTAAAATTGAAAGTTATATGTTGATTTGATCCGTTGAATTAATTAATTGTCGTTATGTTTCAACATTTAAATTAGTCACATGCTTCTCATGTAAGGGAATATTTGTCAATTTTGTAATTTTTTCTCTTTACCTACATCTTTACTTCACCAAATTTCTTCACTCATTTTGAGCAATCTTTGAGATTCAGTCATTCACTATTATTGGAATCTCTCGATTTTATAAAAAACGTCACATCAACCACATGTTGATGACAAATTAACAAGAGATGCACGTCAACAAAACAAGGAT